GAGTCGGTCTCTCAGTGGAAACGCACGCCGATCGGCGTGGACGCTCCGCTGCAAGTGGTTTGCAGAAGCGGCGTCATCTACGCACTCTCTTCGTCTCGGCGCGCCATCACCTCGTACAACTTGACCTCGAAAGCGGCGCACGTGACGACGCTGGCATCACTCGAGACCATCCAGCAGTTTGATACGCAGCGTGGCATTCTTTGCGCCAGGACGTTGGAGAACGTCTACTCGGCGCCTGCCAACGACGACACCTTTGGCAAGCCATGGCAAATCGGTGCCGTTGCCTCGGTCTTTATGCTCCCTCCTCCAGACACGAGTGTCATGTACGTTCGCAATAGCACCTTCTACGACGGAGCGCTGCGCGACCCGTACATGATGGCTCCATCGGGGTACTCCGCTGCACTTGGCGCCAGTGCTACCAGCGTTGCCTACGCCAACTTCACTCTCTGCATACTCACGACGGACCGCGCGATCTGGTGCGGGTATTCCCACGCCCCGTACAGATGGTACAAATACGCAGGCACTTGGACAAATTTTGCACTGTTCGATTACACTATCTGCGCGGTTGCATACCCGAGCAACGATGTGTACTGCAGCAACGTCTACTGGCCTTAGCATATAAAATCCTCTCATAATGCGACTTTGAGTTCTTGCAGAACAGGAGACTATTGAGTTGGTCCTAATCCGAGCTCGTCCGCGGTTTGCCTGTGGGAGTACGTACCTGGTACGGTGAGAAGAGTCAAGGCGAGCGCGGACGATCAAGTAGAGTTATCTCGGACAGCCACCGCCTACTGTAGTCCCTTGCGGCATCTCTGACACCCCGAAATCATCAACACCGTTTCCACGTTTGGTCGCACGGAGGGGCCACACCGCTTGCATCCGCGCGCAGAGTCGTTTGGTGATGTGAACATTCCAGTATTTCAATCCGAAGAGTGTGTTTGACATTGAGTTTGGAGATTGAAAATGAAGATTTATCAAAGAAAGAGAGTAGTTAGAGAAGAGGGTTTGGTGATGTGATCGAAGACCAGCGCATTTGCGCCCACGCGCAGGGTCTGTCGTGCGCAGAGCTTCTCGACACTCGCTTGTAAAGAAGGACGTGCACGGCATCGCCAGCGTCTCGATGCGGAGGCTGCCAAGCATGAGCGCATCCTTATGCCACGTGAGCTTGGTGGGGCTGAGGACGTTGTGGAGGATGCCACCGACAACGACGACGTCGGGAAACTCGGCCGCGAGGATCTTGTTGCCGCCCGCGTGGTCAAAGTGCTTGTGCGTCGTCAAAATGTACTTGAGGCGCAGGGTGATATGGTGGTCATTGCGATACCGCAGGACGACTTCGCGCCAGACGTCGAGCAGCGCGTACGGGTCGGCGGGATCGACGAGCGCGCAGTCGCCCGACGCCTTGTCGATGAGCAGGTAGGCGTAGTTGTCGTCGAGGAAGGGCGCCGTGACAATGGCGGCGTGGCCATCAAAGGCGGTGGCTTCATGCGACGTGCCCTTGTAGCCGCCTGGCCGGCTGGAGGTTGGTGATGATGGCTTTTCTGCATTCTCGTCGCTGATTGGTCGTGGCTAGGGTCGCAATCTTCCGGATATGCAAGACGTATCCGTCGTAGCGAGACTGGTCAAAGATCTTTCAGACCTGTAGCATTGTACGGTACAATTGCTGGGCACTCAAGCAGCTACTCTAGCGCATTCGAGATTCGAATGAGGCGACGACCTGAGCCGAATATTCATCCACCTCGTTGGCACCCGAGCGGGCCTCTAGTTCGAACCCGTTGCATCATCACAACCAGCGTCGCAGTCTCTCAAACGATGCGCCGCTGCAGAGCCCAGCGCGGGGGCAGCTCTGGCCGCCGTCCTACAAGTGTCTTTCGATTCACCTTTGTGCCATCCTGCCCCTCCTTGCGTCGTTGAATGCTACAACAACAGTGAGCAAGAGGCCCGTTGCGGTCGATGTCTCTGCTAGGGTATGTAGCTTGGTCACCAGTCGTCGCGGTGTCGTGGCCTCAAAACTAGCAAACTGAGCCGGCCAAGGCGTGACAACCAAGTCGATCAGTGCGTCCGAGGTCGTGTATCTTGTGGTTTGGGCTGACCAGTGAACAAGAGTACTTACGAGAAGCACTACAGTGTACTATTCATGCAAACTCAGAGCTCGAAGATGCTGCACGTTGAAGGAGACGCACGCCGCGACCGCTTTGCAGAGCGCGTCTCGATCGTCTATTGTATGCTATCGCATCAATCTAGTGTTTTCGCCACATTATATTATTTGCGCGTGACGAGCGCAAGACTGCGCCCACACGAGCACCAACGACGCGTACACTGCAACAAATTCGACGACGCGTCACTACCGAATCTGTCCTGCCGGTACTACTGCTCATACCGTAATTGATTTGTACAAACACCTCGAATCGCTGACAACGAAGAGCCGTCACGTTCCCACACAAAGACAAGCGGCTCTTATTCGCTGCCAATGGTACCTTGTATACCAATGTACTGCAACGGGTGGTGGGAGGGTTCACGTAGCAAACGAACTGCTCTTCCGACATACGCTCCGATATGTGGTTCGGGCATAGGCACTTTGCACGGGATTGTGGCGCATAGGGTCGACGGATGTGCCGAGGATGACGACATGTTGTCCACTTCTGAAGCACAACGCGTTACAAATGGCGAAGATTTCCTCGTACCGACTTGAGGGCTCACTCGACGAAGGAGCTGCGCAGCGGTACAGTGGACGACATGATGTGCATTGTGTTGCGTATCGGGTAAGACTATGCAGCGTGCAGTGCTTTGCGCATCATTTCCAACCGACACACCGAATCTACAGTTGTTGAGGTATCTCAAATGGATGAATTTTGTGTATTACAGCCACCTACGTGCCCTTTGCACAAGATTGTTGGACTGTAGAACTAGGGTCGACACGTCGGCAGATGTTTCAAATCACTGTCAACCTCGCGCAGCTGTTTCTTTGATGTGAAATAGCTGACAGGGCGTACTTGACAGGGCGTTCATTCTCGTCCACGACCTCGTCGACGCATCATCATTGTACTAGTATAGGTCTAGTGCACTCGCTCTTACGATGCAATCGCCCCCTGGCAGCACCTTCTTGAACGGAAGAGATGCGTGTTATGGCAAATGCTACGTCTTGTCACGACCAGGCCATAAATGTGGTCTGTGGAGCCAGCAGCATGGCGCTGCCACATGGTTGTATGCAGGCGACCCTCCGAGGCGAAAGAGTAGATTGTCGTGCTGCCGATGGTGGCTTTCAAGTTCTGTATTTCGGTTCTTAGAGTCGACCAAAGTTATACTTGTATAGGGTAGGTCCTGCAGTGTTGAGAGCAGAACAGCACAGACTTCGCTACAGACTGTACGACTGCCCACCGCACCTAAATGCATGTGTTTTCATACAGCTGTACATGAAAGTTCATTTTGCATTTTACCTGGACGGGGAACTAAGACTGGGAGAGCAAATCAAATTAGTGCGCAATGGACGTAGTTACTGCCATTCGATGTGTCGCCATCTGCACGCGCCCTCTCTACCGGTCCAACAACCTTGAGTTGGATGGGTGGTAGATGTGTCGAGTCTTCACTTTTGCATTTGCCACTTAAGGAGCATGAAGGCCGTCATCTTGCGCATCGCCGTATGCGCGACCTTGGTCGTTGCGAGTTTCTCCACGGAGCACCTTGGGTGTGGCGTCGATACCCCAACGCGTGCGCCAGTTCCCACTGTGACAACCATTGCGCCTGTACCGACCGCGATGCCCGAGCCGACCACTGCTGCACCCGCAGCAACGACGACCGAGACACCTGCACCGACGACGACCGAGACGCCTGCGCCAACGACGACCGAGACTCCTGCACCGACGACGACCGAGACTCCTGCACCGACGACGACCGAGACTCCTGCACCGACGACGACCGAGACGCCTGCGCCAACGACGACCGAGACGCCTGCATCGACGACGACCGAGACGCCTGCGCCAACGACGACCGAGACGCCTGCGCCAACGACGACCGAGACTCCTGCGCCAACGACGACACCAACTATGCCAGCCCCGTGGGTGCGTCTTGGTAGTGACTTTGCGCAAGTGTCGTTGGACGACAACACCATTTGCGCCGTCGGTCAAGACGGCCGAATCTACATGGGGAAGAAGGACGACTCGGTCTCTCAGTGGAAACACACGCCGATCGGCGTGGACGCTGCTTGCAAGTGGTCTGCAGAAGCGGCGTCATCTATGCACTCTCTTCGTCTGGGCGCGAAATCACCTCGTACAACTTGACCTCGAAAGCGGCGCACGTGACGACGTTGGCTACTTCGGCGACCATCAAGCAGTTTGATGCGCAGCGTGGCATTCTTTGTGCGACGACGTCGGACAAAGTGTACTGCGCGTCTGCCAGCGCCGACACCTTTGGCGAGCCATGGAAGGCCAATGCCGTCGCCTCGGTTGCAGTGTACTCTCCTCCATACACGAATGCCGTGTACGTCAGCGATAGCACATTTTACTACGGGACGCTTCTCAACACTTACTAGATAACTCCATTTGGCTCGCAAGCTATTGCTACCAGCGTTGCTGTCACTGCAGAGAGCAACTGCATCCTCACGACGGACCGCGCGATCTGGTGCACTTCGATCTACATCCCGTTCAAGTGGACAACATACGAAGGCACATGGAATCATTTCACCGTGTCCAACGGCATTGTCTGTGCTGTCGCGTACCCGAGCAACGACGTGTACTGCCGCACTGCCGACGTCTAGCATGTATAACCAAAATACAACTTTCGAGTTCTTGGCGCACCACAATCGAGTTCGTTCGAATCCAAAGCCCAACCCGTGCTCGTCCGCAGTTTTTGTGGGAATACTAGGACGAGTACCGTGGAGGTGGCAGGCAACTCAATTTACTTCGCACTCGACAACAGCTTTCACTCGATGCGTCGGCGAGCATCCTCCAGTGCGTCAGTGTAGGAGGGTACACTCCATGGCAACGATCAACAAGATAGACTACGATCAATGTTGGGCGCTCGCTGCGAGCCCTTCTTCCCAGTCCACCGAACCTCATGCACCCTGGTCGTTGCTGTTAGAAGCGTCTACGTAAAGGGCATTAGAGTGTCTGTGGTCACCTTGGATGCAAGTGTACGCGTCGATCGCCGCCATCTCCTTGACATGCACGTCCGCGTCCTTCAGTTCGCGCAGACATTGGACGAGCTCGCCAGGGTGCTTCGGATGCTTGGCATGCTACGTCCATGGTCCCATCAGAAATCACAAGAGCTAAGTGCCAAGAGTACATGGTGGGTTGCAATTGCCTGAGCGACAGCGGGAACGTCGGTGCGCAGGAACGGGTTTGTTGCCCACTCGTCGGCGAGCGTCGACGGGACCGTCGGCAGTCGCTTCTTGCGCTGCGCAATTGCCCACTCAATCTACACCTTTGCTTTGAGCCAGCGTCAACAACCAAAACAAGACAAGAGAGGACCTTGGCCTGGACAGCTTCGTTCTCTGGCTCGACAAACAGAGCAAACGCCAGGTTCTCCAGCGTGTACTCGTGGCCGCCATAGACATTGGTCGTCTTGGGAAGGCCACCCAGCACCACATGCAGGTTCCGGTACATCTACATAGAGTCGTTCATTATCGTCCATGCAATCGTGCGTCTACCTGGTCGCCGTTGCCCTCAAAGAAGCGTCCTGTTCCGGCCACAAACACTACCCTTTGCATGAGATGATCATATCGAAAGATGAAGTAGGATCACATGTATCGCCGGTGAAGACACAGCCGTCCTTGGACTTGCCCGGCGCCGTGACGTAATACCCGACATGGCCCTACACACCACATCGTCATCAACCTCATCCGCAGCGACGGAATCGTAGAGAAGGACGTACGATGGTATGGCACGGCAGCGCCAGCGTCTCGATGTGGAGGCTGCCAAGCATGAGCGCATCCTTATGCCACGTGAGCTTGGTCGCGCCGAGGACGTTGTCGAGGATGCCACCGACAACGACGACGTCGGGAAACTCGGCCGCGAGGATCTTGTTGCCGCCCGCGTGGTCAAAGTGCTTGTGCGTCGTCAAAATGTACTTGAGGCGCAGGGTGATGTTGTGTTCATTGCGATACCGCAGGACGACCTCACGCCAGACGTCGAGCAGCGCGTACGGGTCGGCGGGATCGACGAGCGCGCAGTCGCCCGACGCCTTGTCGATGAGCAAGTAGGCGTAGTTGTCGTCGAGGAAGGGCGCCGTGACAATGGCGGCGTGGCCATCGAAGGCGGCGGCTTCATGCGAGGTGCCCTTGTAGCCCGGCGTCGCATGGCGCTGGCGCACCTGGCGCAGGTGGAAGTAGTAGTACAGGTGCGAGTTGGCGACCCAGTTGATGAGGATCTTGCGGGGCGTGAGGTAGAGCCGCAGCGCCACGTAGGCGAGGCCGGCGAGGAAGAGGTACGCCAGCATGGGACCAAGTGCAATCTCGAAAATGCTGAAGATCCCACAGGCTCGAAATACCGGGGCACGTACACTGGATACGTCAACACAGCATATGCTGTGTACATTCTGGTGCCCCGGGGTGCTCTGCGACATGCGCTGCCACGTGATGCAGCCGTTGACGTCGCTGCTGACCGGCCATGACGCCGCCACGAGAAGGGTGGCCAGCAAGCGCCAAGCACCGGCGCGCGTCGATCGCAGTAGTGGGTAGAGAGACAAGAGATTAGGCGACAGCGAGGACGATTGCGTCGTGCCAGAGACGACGCGTGTTGACGTGGACCGCTCAGAGACAAGGCCATGCGGGCTAGACGGTGCACGCCGGTCGGCGACATGGCCGGTCCGGGAGCGCCAGCAAAACGTAGGCCAAAGGTGTTGGAGTCGAGTCTTACGTGGCGAGTAGCTCAAACGTGCAGCCACCACAGAGTCCCTTGGCGAGTACACCAACGTGCTTGGACCACAGCGTTGCCAACAAGTAGCTGCACTCAGGCTCTTTAGCAGCCGTCATTTCGTCGTCTCTATTCTCTAGCATCTCTCAATAGATAGGCTATCCATATCATGCGCGTTGGCTTGTCGCCATAGCAAACGAGGTCGCACCAGCTGCAACAGCCGAGAGCACATGCAGGCGATGCTTGTCGAAGTACGCAACGGGCGTCGGCCTTGCCACGTTCTGCGTGTCGCCATGACCAAGATTCCCATGCTCGCCCCAGCCGCACGAGTAGAGTCGGCCGCTTGCTGTCACTGGTCGTAGAAGCGACGTGAGGTTCGAGATGCTACCACGTCAACGTACCAAGAAGCGAATGCTCCGAGCCGCACGCCACGTGGTTGATGCGCTCGTCCATGACCAAGAGGCGCGGTGTATGCTCTCCATTGACGCTATCATGGCCTACGTTAACAAGCTTATCTGAGTGACAGAGAGAGGAGGTACGCAACCCACCGAGCTGACCGAACGAGCCTTTGCCCCAGGAATACACGGCGCCATCGTGAACACCCAGAACGTGATGCCACCCGACAGCGACGTGATCACAGCAAAACAGCGCGGCGGAAGCTGCTTCGAGTATGGGCGTGGGTTCGAAGACTTGCTTGCGACTCTACATTGCATTCTGGTCAGTCGACCAGTTCCAGTTTTCCCCACATTTCTAGATTTCGGGCAACGCACCTCGTTGCCGAGCCCGAGCTGCCCGTGTCGGTTGCTGCCAACAACGACAAGACCCTTGGACGTCAAGTGGAACACTGAGTGCTGCCACCCGCAGTAGACGGCGGCGACGGCTCCGTCGATGGGCACCAATGTAGGTGTCGGTGCACGAAGCGTCTTAGGCCCCAGTCCAAGCTCGCCCGACCGACCATAGCCCCAGGTAAACACCTACGTCCGCCATGTGAGCAGTTGATGAGAGAAGGCAAATGTGTACTCGGCCATCGCTCGTCGCAAGGAGCGAGTGCTTCCACCCGCTGGCTACACTGACAACGGCCAGCACAGGCGCGAGAAAGCGCAGTGGGTTTTGCACGAGGCCCGCTTTGTCTACGTACGCTTGAGGAAATGTGCGGACGTAGCTGCTTCCAGAGCCCACCCGACGTCGTTGTCTGACCGAGCTGGTCGTGCTGGTTGCTACCCCAGCTGTAGACCGTCGAGAGACCATCGGCGTGCGTGGCAACGGCGACGGTATGTGACCAGCCGCAGCGCACAAGCGCGACGCGCGGCTACACGGACAAAAGTCACTTGGACACGGTCTGGACGCACTGCGTACCTCGATCGCGATCTTCACAGGAGCTTGCGCTGTCGGAACGTCAAGATGCAGCTGGGCATGGGCGTTGCTGCCCCACATGTATAGCGCGCCAGTGGCATCCACAGCTAGAATAGCGTTGAGCAAGAGCGCCTAGATAGCACCGACGCCGTACCCGCGCTATGGCAGCCGCCCGTGGTCAGCGCCACCGGGCTCTGCAAGGCGCCGAGATCGAGCGGCCGCGGCTCGGCGTGGTCCGCGCTGTCGCCAAGGCCGAGCTGTCCGTCCGAGCCTACTGGACCATGAGCGCGGCTGCAGCATGCAATGACATCTACCAGAGCCCCATGCAAAGACGATGGTGGCCGCCATCATGCGCAAGTGCCAAATTTATCTGCCACACGTGCCACAACTATCGGCCAATGTGCCATTTTTAGTAGCTGGCACACACGTGGGAAATATATTTCACACACACTCCATAAATACCACTGTGTAAAACACCGGCCGGCCAATCAGGTGCGCGATCCACGTGGCAGCCTGACAGCTGAGAAAATGGACAAAATCAACACCGCGTTATCCCGTCGATCGCTGGGTTGGCCGCCCTTGAGAAGCAAAGAATGACGTTGACGACGGGCGCTGGGTGCTAAGGGGGGACGCCGTCGACTTGTATAGGACAAGCGCCTCCTTGCTCATGACGGCGAGCCAGCCTTGCTCGGCCGCCACATTCGGTACAATCCCATGCTGAACATCGACGATCGACGACGGCAGCTTTGGGTCGAGCTTGCGCACAACGGTACCAGACGTAGTGTTCCAGAGCCACAGCTGGTGCGACTCGTCATCGGCCGACGCCACCACCGGGCTGCCTTGACGTGGCAGGTGCCACATGGCCGACCGAGACAGCGCCGACGGCGTGCGGTGACCCTATCCAGCGCCATTGGTTCATTTTCAGATTGAGGAAGATTCACAAGATACCTGAACGACCGCATCGGACACCGTCTGCAGCTGGTTGCTGGTGTGTTGCACCGACAAGACAAAGTGCTGAGCGGGCGACGACGGCAGCTGCGTCCGCGTCGAAACGATGAGCTGCGTCGGCCGGACTTGGTTGTGGCCCATCGAAAAGCAATTTTTCACTTCCATGTTCAAGCTCGGGTCGGTCGGGACCGTGACGCCGTCCGGCGCATGCCACATCGACACGCCTGTAAACGTAGCTGCCACAATAGTCTATAACCATGTCATTTTTAGTAACAAAGGACTATGGAACATTGACGTACCTTGGTATTGCCGTGCTGCATGGTGCGAATCGAGTGCACAGGCTGCTTGAGCTGGTGGGCCAGATTCTGGACGGGCGACCCGGTGCGCCGAATATCAAATACCGAGATCTGGCCATTGTGGTGACCACAGTACACCTACACCCAGTCCAGTCGCATCATTCTCGTTGCGCACCCGACTAGAAAGGGCGTACGAGAAATGGATTGGTCGCATCCCAGGTGCACGACCAGCCAGGAAACGGGAGGTTGTACTTGAGCACACACGTGTGGGACTTGGTACTTGTCTAAATAGGACATCTCAGAGTCCTAGAAGAAGAGAAGATGGAGGCGCGTACGAGGAGGAGCTTGGCGTCAAATGCTGTGGTCGCGACAAGGGCGTCGTCATGTGAGAAGGCAAGGTCGCGGACAGGCGACTTGTGTAAGGGAATCGACACGCGGTGGTGCACGTCCACGGTACTCACCTAGACACGCCATCATCATATGTCTCTCATACAAGGGATATGTAGCTAGATACCTGGAGCAGCCCATGCTGGGCGCCTTCGTCGTTGGACACATGCGTCCGTGTGCCAATGCAGACCATGTCACAGGTCGACGAGAAGCCACAGACGCGGGCTTCCATGCAAGGAATTGGCACGTCGTTCACGCGCGTGTACTCGAGCCGGGAAGCAGAGTCCGCCTCGTCCTCATCCTTGTCATCGTCATCGTCATCGTCATCGTCATCGTCGTCCGAGAGAACGATCGGTGCGGTCTTGAGCCGCGAGTTCTCGGCCAGCAGCTCCATAATGCGCTGCTTTTGCGTCTCGATCTCTTGCGTGGTCGTCGAGACCTGCAGCTTGAGCCGCGCCACGTCCATCTCGGCCTAGCGCATGCAGATGCATCGTCCGTGTCGTCGTCTTACGGGATGTACCTGCATGCGAGCCTGTTTTTCGGCCAAGTACTTTTGGTTGTACTCTTCCTGGCGGCCATTGTCGACGGCCGCGATCGTATCGGTGAAGTGGATGCGCACGTCGTTGCGCTTCACGACCCGGTTGCAGATTGGACACGTCTTGCTCGTCTTGACCCAGCGCTCGATGCAGCTCTGGCCGAAAAAATGGCCACATGCGAGGCTCGCGAGCCGGTGGTCGCCCTGCGTCGTGCAAAACTCGCAGCAGATCGTGCACTCGAGCGCCTACATACGGCCGTAGGATGCTCGCGCGTGGACGGCGAAGCGGATACCTCGATGCTCTCGCGCCGGCGCTTGCGTCCCGTCGGCGACGTTGTCCCCGACCCCGTCGCCGTCGCCATGCCTGCCAATTCCAAAATTGCTTGCGCGTAAATGTGGTTAAATGTGGCATTTGGACACTGTTTATTTGTGGTTAAATATGGCATTGGACGGCGACCGCTGTCTTTTCCAGCTGTGCCTCGCTCGTGGGCACTCTGCTTGCTTGTTGTGCAATCACTCATACAAGAAGACCAACGTGTACAGCTGCACTTAGATGCGACCAAACTGAGGCTCCAACCTAGAGCCTTCTTGGCCTCGATACGAGTCTGCTTAAAATAATACGCGTTCTACTTGAGACCACACTGTAATATAATTATATTTCTAATTTCTTTCATTGGTGTAATTAATTTTCTTTTTCGGCCAATCCGCGCCGACAAGCTCGTGGCAGTCGCCGCCGCAGGGCTCGCAATCGCCCAAATCACGTTTGAAAACCAACTCGCTGAAACTTGGCATGTTGATAGAGGACACTTTGGAGAGTCCGAAACACTGCGTCCCATCATTGACCGAGGTCTACAGCAGAAGAAATCGCCGTTGAGAAATGTTGTACACCGGGGCACAATTTTATCCGGATGATTGACGGGTACCCGCGATCGGAAAAGGGCAGGCAGCTTCTGGAGGCGCAAACTCTGCAGACGACCTCTGACGACGGCGAGTCATCCCCGAACGCACTCGCTTCCTCGTATAGTGTGCCCGTAAACCTTGAAAAAGGCGTGCTTTGGTGTCTTGAAAAAGTGAGCTTGGTGTCAATGCTCGATGTGGACGCCCAGCGCTTAGCGCAAACATCGTCCCGAAGCTCTGACCGTCGGTATGTCGCTTGAAAGGGCGACGTGGGCCTGTACCATTGCATGCCGATCGCAAGATCATAATCAATGCACACGTTCACACGAGCATCAACTGTATAAGCCAAGCACAGAGGAGTACGCACGTCAACAAGAGCCAACGGTTGCCTAAGGGATGGATCCTCACCAACACAACACTGCACGTCCCCTGTTTGGCGCGCTGTCCACGCGCTGCCATCTACACTAGTTTAAGGCCACCGCTGTTCTTTCCAGCTGTTCGACTCGGTCGCGAGCACTCTGTGTGCGCGTTGTGCGGTCCCCTCGTCCAACAAAACCACCATTTCATTGAAGAGAGTGCTAGGATATGTACAGAATTGTCAGCTGCATTTTTTCGTTTTTTACTTGCGACGACGGAGTTGCTGCCGGGCTTCGTTGCGCATGAGACCGTAAAAAAGCTTGTACTCCATAGAGGCGAGAAGACGATTGACAAACCACGTGTACTCGCCGTGGTCGTCGTTTTCATCGAGAATGTCCTTGCACGCTGCGTAGAACTGCGCTGTCGTCCCGCCTTCGTCTTCGAGAAACCCTAATTTCCACTTCAATAGCGTCCTCATAAGACCAAAATTCGATAAACCTTGCAGCCGATCCTCAAAAATCTTGAGGTAGGCATCGTGCAACTCCTTGTATTCGTGCTTGTGCTCGACGTCGTCCGAGTCGACCGAATCATAGAACGCCGACGCATGCTCCCTACATTTCTCAATTGAGCGAGTGCTGGGTACGGGACGCAGCGCACTCGGCGAACTCTTCGAAGACGCGCTCAAAGGCCGGTGACGCACAGTAGTCGGCGGCGCGCTGGAGGATCGACATGGCGTTTGATTACAAGTTGAAAGTGAAGAGAGCTCGCAGTTATGTGTTGTGGTATTTATAGCGCCGTTGACCGACCTCAACCCGTCAACGGCGACAGCGATCCCCCCAAACGCCAATAATTGATGAACCTTCGTGTCCTCACTCAGCATTTTTGTTGCAGGTGCACTCGTAACTCGCAGCCATACCAGGTCTCGAACCTCGAGCTAACTGGGTGCGCGGTAGTTGTGACTGACGCTCTTGACGAGACCTAGCCCCGTGGCAAGGTGATTTTCACATTGTTGACCACGGATCCTTCACTACAAGAAGAGCGCCAAAACACATATTTGGCCCGCGATAGTTGACGAAAATATAACGAAATGACGTCGTTTCACAGCACATTTTGAAAAAACATGACAAATTCCTACAACCACAGTTCGGGCTTGGCGTGGAGTGCGAGGTCGTTGATCAAGAGACAAAAGAGCGCGTGGTCGACACCCGGTACGATCTGCACATGCTGCGGCGCCTCGTCAAACAGTTCGAGCTGCAGCGGGTGGAGGACATCGACCATTGGCCAAATGCACGCGTGGACCTTGGCCAACGTCTCGGCTTGGAGCAGGTTTTGGTTGACGCCGTACTCGGGCGTGAGGCGCGTGAGGTAGCTATGGCTGATCATCGCCCGCAGCACCGACACACGGTGAAAGACCACGTGCCAGAACGGCGACGTCGCATTGAGTTCGTGGACGCGCAGCAACATTGCATTGTTCCAGCGCGACATGGTCTCGGTGAGTGCATACCAGCGAGATACCGCCATGCCGGCGCCGCAGAGCAAAATGAGGCGGCGCCTACACCATATACATCAAGCTTTGGATCGTGGAAGAGAAGCAGTTGCGTACACCGAGTCGGGATGTCGCTGGCTGTAGCGCAGCGCGATGGCCGAGCCCATCGAGATGCCGGCGATCGTCACCTGCGCCGTCGCCCAGCCGGCGCGCTCGATGGCGTCGCGGACTTGGTGCACGAGGACGTTTGGGTCGTGCATGTCGTTGTGAGGAAGGTACGGTGACGCGCCATGGCCGTAAAAGTCCAGCGTGAGCACCGCGTGGTCAGCGGCGAGCTTCTTGGCCGTCGTCGCCCAGTCCTTGGAGCTCATGCCCCAGCCGTGCAAGAGCACAATGTGCGACGCGGGCTGCGCGCATAACGCGTTGTAGACGGTCGAGTGGTACGGCGGCAGCACGGCGAGCGGCCGCGCCGGCGCAATCGCTGCGTTCGGATGGCGGCGGGGCGTGGTGCCATAGACAGCGACGCGCACGACGGTCGCGAGGTGCGGCGGCAGTGTCCCGTCCGACGCCTTGGCAAGCAGAAGCAGGTGCACCCAGCGCGGCAGCGCATGCCACGTCAGCATGGCCATGGGCATGGTTCCGACTTCGACGCGCTGAAGATGGTGGCACCTTGAAGTTGAGCACCATCATCATCAGTGGCGGTCCGTGATTCGCCCAAGAATGGAATTTCAAACTCAACAAGCGATTTGATTGGCTATTATTCCACCAATCCGCGCTTGTGATTATCCTGGTCGTGTGCGCATTGGCCAAATAGATTGGAGCTGGCAGATTTGAGGAATCGGGGCCGATTTCTCAACATCCCTTCCTTCCGCAACGGACTGGAAAAGTGTACAATGGTAGCATAGTGCTCTACTGACAAGACGACGAGGGTATAGAGATGGCTGCATCCCACCGTCAATGTCGAGCGACGCTCGAATCAGAAAGCGAGGTGGTTGCGCAAGCGCAGCTCGGGCGCTTGGTTGACGCCATCAGTTGACGCTGCTGTTGACGTTATTGATTTGTCCCTAGTCATCGGCAAAGGACGAATTGGCAAGTGTCCTCGTACCCTATTACACAACGTACCAGGCGTTTTATGATTCGATAGTCTATCCCAGCGCACTGCCTCTCGACACCAACAACAAATAGCATCGACGTCGTCAATAGCTTTTGACCAAACGTACCACCTTCGACGACGGTGCAGAGACGCGCGCTTCTCAACCAGCGTCCGGCCTTCGCAAATGCGATCCTTGAAGACGAATCATTCCAATCGGTCGACGGTTCGATCCCATGTGGCAGCCTTCAAGACCTGCGACGGGGTCGCGTCCAGAGACGACGGTCGGACAATGCTAATACTGCAGGTACGATGACGAGTCATGGTTACACAAGCATCCACGGCAAGGCGGTCGTTGTCGAAGAGGTGTCCAAATCGAGCCTCTTATCCGTCTTACCGTAATTGAAGCTGTCATTGCATAATTTGACTTGTCAAGGAGCCACAGCCGGTCTTACCGCACCTCTGCGCCAATCTGAGAGACTTTCACATCCATCAATGAGCGCGTAGTCGGTACTGCGACACGACTTCCACTCGACATCTGGACGCCGTTGACATCTGAGGACCACCCGAACGATTATACTCGGCGTTATTAGTAGTTCGACATCCGTGTAGTCATCTTATTCGATCACGACGCTCTGACTAGCGGCGTGGGACGCAGGGATCTTAGCCGTGGTAGTACCGCGTCGCATGGAGGAGACCGGCGCCCGCGACCGCGACCTCGATGGGCAACGCTTGCGCCGCCGCCTCGCCAAGCCCATCGACGAGCGTGTAGCCAATAACCTCGAGCGCGAGACCGAGCAGGAACCAGAGCGGCGCAAACCCCGTGCGAATGTTGTTGTGGAAGTACGCATCGCGCGTGTTGTACGTCCACGCAATGTTGCGGCCAAAGAGGAGCATGAGCCCGTAGCCCTCGATGATTTCGAGGAGCCAAATGTTGAGCGGGAAGAGGACGACGCGCAGAACGGCCGACGGCAGCCATGTGCGGTATGTGAAAAGGAGCAGCGGCGTGTACAGTACGTTGGCCTACACTACGGTCAAGCGGTTGTTTATACTTCAGATCGTAGTACCCAGAACTGGGCCCACGTCGTGTGCCCCGGGCGGCAAGTCGACGCGAACGGCGTGAACGAAAGGTCGCCGTTGGGCGCCTCAGTCGTTGTCGCATACCATGAGAACTCGATGCACGAGAAGCCCGCGGCCGCAAAGACGGCGGCCCACTGCACGCTCGGCGGATGCGCATAGTACCACGCGCCAGCGACCGCTGCGACAAGAGGCAATGAGAGCGCGCGTGGTAAGGGTGTCATGGATGCCATCGCCGCCGACCAAAGAAAAAGGCAATATGACGCATTTCTACCGCTTGTCTTCCGAAAAAGGGGTGCTGGCACGGCCCCTTTTTCGTCGCCGGGGCAGTCGATAGGCATCGCGAAGGGTCGAATCGAGCGCCGGGTGCCACGCCGAGATGCAACCAAAATGGAGCGTTCTGAAGCAACCCATGCACACAGCGTCTGTCTACGTGCGCCATGTGCGATCGCCGATTTGCCTTGTTCTCAGAGACTCCCCATACGCCCCCACTTCTGACAGGAACCAGCACTACCAACTACGTTATTTGCATATTCCAGCCACCGATTTGTAAACGCAGAAGCGGTAGAGATGGCGGCAGGTGGACAAGTGCAGTCCAACGGCCAGCGCCGATGACGCCATCGCAGGCCGCCTCTGCGGCGCTCGGCGCTGAGAGACAGCGAAAAGAACTGCCGCTTCCTGCTTGGCGTGTGAGTAGCGAATCCTTCCTTCTATTGTACCGTCATCAGGGCACGCTACGAGTAGCTCTCAAGTACCTGCCGCAGGACCAACGTTGTCGTCGTGGTCGCCGTCTTCGGCCAAGTTTCGTGATGACTCGGCGCTGTCTCGGTTGGCTTCGAGTCGCTTTTTTAAAATTCAAGACAGGTCCCGAATATGACAGGACCAAGTGCAACTTGCAAGATCCAGATGGTGCGAAGCGCGCGCGTGTCATTTCCGTGACTGGTCATCGCACTATTCCTTCTGCTCCGGAACGCGCAGGTACCACCACCGCTTCACCTTGGGTATCATCACATCACAAGCCGGCGACAGCGACACCGCGCGATGTCCTCGCTGCAATTCTACATGCCCTCGTGCGTCTGCCCTCGGGCGACGCCGTTTGAAGGCGGCTACGATACGCCCACGTAGGCAACGACGACTGCCAGACTCGAGAAGTTACACACGGTGTAGGCGGCTTCCGCTATCGCTGCCGCCCCGACCAATCGTACGCTCTCCGCTGCACGTTGGTATCGACGACTCACTCACCTGTGCCTTGGATTAGGTCCTCCCGTACACTCAGATATCGCGGCAGTTGAATTTGACACAAGCTTGTAGATCGTTCCCGCACCAGTGCCCGACGCAGACGCCGCGTGGTGCGCTCGCAGTCGAGTTTGCACTCGCCAATGTCACGCCAGCCGACGTCGCGCAGCACGTGGTCTTCCTTCGGTTTGAACCCGCAGAGACCGAGCTGAACGCGCTCCAAATCGGGGACCAAGTGCCCTGCGCCTGCATAGTCGACGACGTGCAGTCGACGAGCCATCCGACTGGCACGTGGCTGCCAAGCCAAGAGTATATTTTCGACCAGGTAGAATATTCTCGTATACTTTTGAACTTGGACACTATATGGACTAGGCTACCGGGCTCGCGCATTGTACGTACGTGCCGCTGACGCAAGATTGGTCGTTCTCGTGGTCGCAAGTGTGGCCTGCGGCGACGTTGACGGTACACACCTTTAACACCTTTTTTGTTTTTCGAGGCGACGGTATCGGCGTGTGCTAGGCGTATCTCTTTGTCCGATGCCAGCAAGGCCCCGACACGGTTCTCCAAGTCGTTGCGTCCGCCCGATCACCTGCCTTCGCCATCCGGCAAATGCCCCGGCCGCCGTCGCCACCTGCTTCAACTTCATTTGACGTCTCGTTGGGTATCATTCTGGCGTTTGTGAGCGCGCTACCGCCTGGTGTCGGCGGCGCCATCGCGAGCCGCCATGTGCAGTCGCGGCTGCTCAAGCCGCTCTTTGCGCGCCTTCATATGCCGTTGACCGAAGCATATCTGACCGAACATGCGCGCATTCTGCCGTTGGCTGGTACGATCGTCGGCATTCAAAATGAGGTGTGACGGTACACGCTAGTCGACCGGGCATCGCTCCTTGTCACGACGTTGGAAGCTACGTGCCTCGGCGTCGCGACGTCGTTGCTCGACCCGAACCTCGTCCAGCAACTCCAAGCGCTCTGTCTCTACGACGCCGACTGCCTCTTGGACAGAGACCGGCTCACGACCTTGTACGAGGCATGGAAGAGGCTTGTCGCGGCTTATATAGACCAGTGGCTGCAAACATCGTCGCGCTACGACTCGTATACGCAGCTCGTGCGCGACGTCGTATCGATCGCGCCACACCTCCAAAGCACGCCGTCTCCGTCCTTGTTTGAGCCATTTGTCGCGCAGCTGCGCGAGCTCTACATGGTGGACCCCAACCCCTATCTATATTGTCAAATTCCTACAAAAACCGTGTAGGCCAAAGCGCAGCCCCAGGAAGTGTGGCCGCTGCACCAGCAATTGTCGCCGTTCGACGGGCGCTGGCTCTGCGCGATCTTGCCGCCGCACCACCCCGGCGTCCCCGCACCCGTGCTGCCAATGCTCCAGTGGGTCACGATGGCGTACTGCTTTCGACAGTACCTTGATGCCCACAACGTCTTGCACGTACGTTCTGAGATTGTGATGACGCGTTGTCGTGACGAGGCGGATGTAGGTGCGCTCCGACCTCGCGATTCACTCGACCATCTGGTCGACGTACACGCTGGACGACCGCCTCCGCGTCGCGCGCGTCTTTCCTAACGGTGCCAACACCTTGCGCGAGTGGAGTGCGTCCTGGCTCCACGGCGATTACATTGGTCGCGTGCGGTCGCCGGGCGTCATTTGCCTCACGTTTTACGCCTGGCCGCTGCAGCAGTCGTCGACAGCCTACATCGCGCGCGTGCAGATGACAGCGACGACGCCGACAAGGCTCCAGTTTGAGTGGAGTCTGACGTCGACTACCGTGACACTGGGCGCAGACTATGTGACCATGACGGCCGAGAAGCGCCAGAGCTGCTTGAGCGAGACCGAGACGCCATTGATGGCGCTCGACCTAACCTACCACCGCGTCCCCACGTCGGGCGACGGCTATACTATTTAACTCTATCCCCATCCACAAATATACGACTGTGGCGACGACTGAAATGACAACTCGTACTACGTTAGCGAGCAGAATACTTGATCGAGGCGTTGCCATTCGACCGCCGACCTGCGGAAGCCGGGCCGGTTTCCAACATATTTTCTAACAAATACCCTAACGATGCTATCCGGAAGGACAATATGAATATGGATATACCGAGAAAAAGATGCATCGTGTTGGCTTCCGACGCGTGGGCACGGCGCTCCTTCTTGCTCTCGTAGACAAGCCGGCGCTGCACGACGACCGGGTTGAGCACCTAATCTGGACCTCTTTTGTCCATAAAATCAACCGCACAAAGCTACCGAAGTCCCCGAGAGGTTGGGAATGACCACGGACGCCTTCTTGCGCGGCAGTGGCTGGGGCAGTTGGAGTGGCAGGACACGACCAAGGTCTTTGGACGCACCAAGCGCGATCGTCGCTCGTTTGAGCATAGCCTCGTTCGCCTCACGAGCGACCACTTCCGCCCGCGTCGTCGCGACGTCCCCGTACGACATGAGCGCCGAGAGCATGAGCTGCCGCTGGTACGACGGCAAGAGCGTCTGGAGCGAGAGACTGCGGTCCTAAACCTCAAGGATTTGTCAATGTTTCAACAGAGGCGAGGTAGGGGTGCGGTACCCCGAGCTGGCCTGTCTCGACGAGCTGCACAAGCTTCTCGAGCGGGTGGACGCTGTCTTTTCCGTTGGTGTCGTGAGCGTTCATGAGCTCGACAAAGTCGTCAAAGCCAATTTGACCGTCGCCGTCGCTGTCGGCGGCGACAAGAAGCGCCTTGACCTAGAGCCCATTCTAATCGCATGCAATTCTAGTCAAGTGTACCTCGGCGAGGGTGTTGGCAAAGCCGAGGACGAGCATTGGCCAAATGAGCTCCTGCACCGAGATGCCCCCCGACTTGTCGACATCGTACGAGTCAAACCAGAGGCGGAGATGCTACAGCAACAGTGTAAGGGACTCTGAATAAGAGACATGGACAGACTTTGAGGTGGTCGCAGCGCTTTTGAACGCGTACGTGGGCGCGTGCCTTGCGCTTCTTGAGCCACTCGAGCTCGGTCACGAGCGTTGTGAGGGCCGACTGCTCCGTGAGCGCCTCGGACGCCTTCTTACTTGCTGCTTTTTGCGCCTCGACCTTTGCGAGCAGCTCGCGGTACTCCCGCTCTGTCGTCGCCGAGACGCTGCGTTGACTCATGTACCTAATCGACTACAACCTCCATCATGGCGCGCTCGCCGTAACGCTCGAGGCGCCATTTTGGCCATGCTATGGTCGTCCCAAGGACATAAAGTACATTCAAGTTGATGTCCTTGGTCGTGCCAGCGCTTGGTGGTGCGCTCCGGTTCCGTGTCTGCTCGGGCGGAATGGTCGGACGCTGCGCGGTGGACCCTTTGGGGTGGATGGCATCGAGGTTGAGCAAGGTGCTAGCGTGACGACGACGCGTGTCCGAGCTCGCTCCTTGCAATTGAAGACAGGTTGTCTGATCTTTATCGATGCATAGTTGGCGCGTGAACGTGGACGCGCGTGGACACGGTGGTCGGCGCGTCGACGTTCGCAGCGTCGAGCGTGCGAAATGTGGATCGCCTTTCTGCATCAGCATGGACGCGACTTCAACTAGCCGCTGATTGGTTGAAATGCACGAATTTCCTGCGTTCGTAATATTAATAAGACGCGATCCCGCCTCTTTCAATACAACGTCAAGTGATTAGAAGATGAATTGTGGAATATTAATATGTTGGCCATCGATCCCCGACATGCCATTTTCGAAGATTTCCGACCACGGGAAGATGGGCAACAACGCGTCCTTGCACGAGTCCTGCCGGACGGGCGACCTCGACGGCCTCGCGTCGCTGCTCGCGTCCTCCGAGATGGCCGACGTCGAGAAGGCCGACGAGTATGGGCGGACCGCGCTCCTCGTCGCGGCTGGGAGCGACCCGGAGGTCAAGAGCCCGAGCCCGACGCCACAGGCGCTCGAGTCGGACGCGATCAAGGCCGCCACCCACTCGGTGCAGCACGAGAAGAAGCAGATCGTGCTCGAGATGATCAAGATGCTCGTGGCGAAAGAGGCGAACCTCGACCACCGCGATGAGAAGGGCTGGACGGCCTTGCACCACGCGTGCCAAGCGCAGAACGACGTGGCGATCGTGTACCTGCTGCAGCTCGGCGCGATGCCCACGCGCGACGCCCTCGGCCTCCTTCCCCAGGTACGAGAACGCTATTGGCGACGAGGTCCACGAGTTGTACTAGGACTTTTTGCTGCACAATGGCTACCCCGACTCGATCCAGCACGCCGAAGACCTCCACGCTGTCCTCACTCGCGTCACCGAACCAACCTCGTACAAGATGAGTCTCTTGAGTCTGCGCTCGAGCGGTATCGCCGAGATCCGCCTCGGCGCCCACCTCGAGAAGGGTTCTGTCGTCACGGGTACGACACTGAATCTGCATGCTCGATCCAGCGTCTCACATCTCGCACAGTCGAGTTTGACATTCCCGACAACCATTCGCCAAAGGACTATGTCCAGCTGCTCATCTACAACGAAGAAGGCGACCAAAACATCGACGTTGGGCCCACGCAGCTCGTGCCACCCGGGACCAGCGGCCAAGTGGCCTTCAAGTGCGACTACGGGTCGCCTCCATGCATTTACCGCTTCGTCTACGTCAAATGCGGTATTCTACTTCGTGTCGACACATTCGTATCAAGTTGATACATCGATAGATATCAACGCGATCTCGCGCGTCGTCGTCGCCAGCGGCTGCACCGCGTCCGTGCAAACGTCGGTCGGCGAAGTCTTCCAATACGAGCTGTACCTCTACGACCGCGTCGTCGAAGTTGAGAGCGTCACCGAGTATGAGTTTTTCGATCAGCCCACCATCGCGCTCAAGCGCATTGGTCTCGGTACGCATTTGCACAAGTCTAGATTCTAGAATCTGGTACGATCCTCCATGTAGTGCAAGGGTCACCCGACGACATTGACTGGATCGACGTGCTGCCCGAGAATCACATTGTTGCCGTCAACGACGTGGTGATCGCCGGTATGAGCTTTGAAGCCGCGATCCGCCAGCTGCAGATGAACAATGGCACCAAGTGCACCAAGCTGCTCATGCAAAACTCGGTCGTACGTAGCTTCATCTTCTTCTTGGAGTCCTATCCATCCAATCCTATCCGGATAGGCGATCGGCGACTTCATCCATGAGAAGATCCTCGGCGTCGGTGTCATTGGCAAGTACGCGAGCTTGCAACCGGTCGAGCTACCCGACGATGGCTTTGCGCTGGCACCGACACCGACGACGGAACCCGAACTGCCGCCAACCGAGGTGCAGGATGCCGAGGTACCGGTGCTCAACAAACCGGGTCCGAGCGACAGCGCCGTGTCGGACGACTTTTATGATGCGATGAGCCCGACGTCGTCGCTGCAGGCGCCGTCGTCGCCGCTGAACGGTGTCGCGACGGCTTCGACGCTGCCCAATACGATGCAAATGGTACATTTGTTTCAATCTATCGAGTCGATCAGAATATGTGTAGGTCGGCGAGATGTTTGAGGGCATTGCAGTCTCGTCCAAGACCTAAGTCCACGAACTAGATGTATATATTACTGCACGGTAGTCGCTGTCGGCTCGTCTACGCACTGCGCTCGGCGGTGCTTGCCTTGGACGTGTTGCTATCGTCGTCGTCGTCGTCGCTGTCGACGTTGAGGTCGGCGGCCGTCGGACCCGACCACGTATTCCGCTCGCCGGCTACGAGGAACCGGATGCAGTTGGTGGTGTACCCGAGCGAGAAGGGTGAGCTGTCGCCTGGGAGGTCGCGCAGGTATGTGATCTGGCGTCGCCGGGCGTGTTCCCACGACGTCTACGTGTGCCATGAGACACATGATTGGGATTCCGTCCAACCTGGTTGGTAAGCACGAGGTAGATGTGGTAGCAGGTCAGCGGGATCGCCATGAGCAGCGTGAAGAGGCTGCAGCCGTAGACAACAATGTACGGGAGGTTGACGACGAACCAGGCTTGGATGCTCTCCTGCATCGAAAAGCCATAGACCGCAATGTCCATGGCACAGATGGCCTCGAGCAGCTGCAGGACGACGTACATGACAAAGATGCGGTGGTTGTCCCGGCCGACGCAGACGCCAGCGCAGACGCAGCTACACACAACGTCATGAGATCGGACTATCGAACGACGATGGAGGAGGATGTACTGGTGGTCGTACTGTTCGACGCAGCGCCCGCAGTCCTTGCTATCACGTGTGAGCCTCCAATATGCATGTTCGAGATGGAAAGACGCACCAGTGCTTGGCGCGGAGAGGCTGGTGCACGCGGCAGCGCCGGCAGTAATGCAGCTCCATGCCACTGGCAGCATCAACGACCGGCGACTCGAGGCCGTGCTCTAAGAGGAGCACATCCGTGTCGTACGTCTCGAGAGGATCGGCGGCCGGCGCGAGCGGGACAACGCCGGGCGACGAGCACTGCAGGCGCACGTACGCGGCAAAGCTGGCGACGGCGATCGCAATGACGGTGGCGGCGCCGGCCATGTCGTAGCCGCTTGGCCGGGCAAAGTACGCCGCCCACGTCCCGCTGTAGACGAGCCAGACGTAGTCGCCAACGTGGAAGAGAAGCCACCAGACGCGCGTGTACAGGATCTTCTTCCTGCCGAGGCGCACGTCGTCCTCGGCGGACCGTGCCATGCGGATCGATGAAGTTGCTACACTGCCAGCTGGCGGCTAGAATACGGCAAATGCCGATTTTAATATTAAATATGGCAGATGCCACTTTGAATGGCAACCCACCCTCAACCCCGCCATGCTTGACTCGGTGACACCACAAAAGCTTTCTTCATCGATACAACGAATCTGCATCAACTGGACTCTGGGAGGTGGTAAGGGTGTTGAACGGGCGGACCCCGCGGGCGTGCGAGTAGACCGATTTAACCCAAAGACGAGTTGGATGGATGTTATTTGAGTGAGGAACCCTAGCTATCCTACGAGATCCTTGCAAGCATGGGCTAATCTCAGGGCTAATCTATCTCGCACACGATCTCCGTGTCGAGACTAATTTCAACGGCGGCTTTGACTTGGGGGGCCGCGCTAACACTGGGCTTGGCAGGGTCGGGGGTCGTGGTTGGTGGTTGCGCATTCTTTTTCTGGTTTCTGAGGTACAAGTACCCGCCGATCATTGCGACGGGCAACAACGACATCCATCCAGCCTTGGACGACGACGACGACGACGACGACGGGTTGCCTTGGGTCGTTCTCGTCAGGTCGCCTTCTCGATTCGACTGGTCGACGCAGCGGACAAACATCGCCCCCGGTAAGTCGTCGTACGCATAGGCGTTCGTGCACCTGCGCCACTCGGACGGCGCGTCCTTGGTGCCAACAAAGCAGCCCATGTACGAGAATTGAATTTTCATCGTGAGCTCCAAGGCGCCCTTGGCGTTGGCGAGAAAAAGGCCGGCGTTGATGGCGCACTCGGGCGCGGTCACCGTAAACAATTGCGGGTCGCTGGTGTTGAGCATGAGCGACTGGCACGTGCAGCCAGTCGGCTCAGTGTACGTCAACGCGTCGCCACTGCACTCGCCCTGTGTACACCCGGTCTTGCACTCTTGGGTGACGCCGCTGGCCACGTCCTTTGCTTTGGCGAGCCCGTTTTCGATACGCCTGACGTCGGTCGCCGTCAACCCCTTGGCCCCGACTTGGCCTTGGAAACTGCAAGGGACGCCGTGTTGACGCACGAACGTAGTGATGCGAGCGTCGAGCAGGTCGGTCGGTTGCCGCTCAGAAAGTTGCCGCACTCGATCAGATCTTGGATCGCGTCGTTGAGCATTTGGTCGGCGAAGTCCACAATAAAGTTGCTCGTGCCGTCCGTAAAGTCTTTCATCAAGCCGAAAAAGTCGGGTGCGATCCCGTCGATGCTGAGGGGGGTGACCGTATCGAACGCACACCCGGCAAACTCTATCGGGTCGATGCACGCGGTGGCGCCATTGGGGCAAGTGAACGAGCCAAAGAAGCAGCCGGTCGCCAACGAACGCTGTGCGCTGTACGGCGCCGGGTTTGTGCCGACCGGCAGGCTGCTGTTGCTGGTCTTTTCCGCAAGCACGTATGGCAGCGAGGCCGCGAGGCCAAGGAGAAAGTGACGGGGGCGGCCGACGACCATGAGCAAATGCAAAGTGTGCTGTTGCATGAACTCTTTGAATTCAAGATGGCGGCATCCTATCCACGTTGAGTCGTTGAACTCGGTGCGGGAACAACAGCCGCCTTTCCATACCTTTGGTTATACTTGAGCATGGTTGGCTAGCGGGTCCGCGACAGCCATGCATTCGCTATTTTTGACCGCCAACAAGCTGGTGGTTAGGTCCACCATCGCTCTATTTCAACTGGCGTTCAGGTCGAAATGGCTGGTCGGTCTACCATGGTCCAAACTAGTCGGCCAATAGCTTGACATGTGGCTTTGTCGCTGCCGAGGTCACTACCCTCGGTCATACGCTGGCGCAACCACCCTCTGGATCGAGGCCAGATCTTCGAATACTTGGAGGTGCCAGATATCCAGATTTAGGTTCCTGTTCTGGAAGTTGACGTTTGCGTTGGGGATGATGCAATAGAGGGCCATGAGACATGGCGCGAGCCAAAATGTTCGACCTTCACACAAGCAATCTGTCAAGAAACCCCAAACTTGCGAGGACGCATTATACAACCGCACGCCGGAACATTCTTTGTGACGTGCAGTAGGTAAATTCTCGAGCACAAGATGCCGTTTGTAGCACTTAGACAACTAGGATCACCACTGCAACAACGAGTGCAAGGCGATGCAGCACCACCGTTGGCGAGCTATGCGAGAGGCTGCGCCGGTGACCAAACTGATCGACGCAGCGCACAAACTGGGTCTTCGCGAGCTCGATCGACGCGTACGTGGGTGCGCACGTGCTCCAGTCCCACGGCTTGTCGTCCATGCCCACGTAGCAGCCCATGTACGGCAGCGGAATCTTCCCCGCAACTTCCTTGATGCCGTTCTCGTTGACGCGATAGAGAGCCGCGTTGGCGGCGCAGCGGTCGGTGGTCACTCGAACCTGCTTGGCATCGTCGCCAACCACGGTGAGCACTCTACACGTGCATCCGCGGGGTGCCTGATACTCGAGTGGTGCCCCGGTGCACGTGTCGTGGTCACACCCGATCATGCACTGGTCGACGACCCGTTTCAAGACGGTCGGTACCTTGTCAAGGCCGCGCTGGATGCGGTCGCGCTCATTGCTAGTGAGAGTTTGGCTCGCTATCTTGCTGGCGAGTGCCATTGATGTCGTGTTGACGCACGTCTCAAATGTAGCGAGCGTGCTGCAGCGCGGCGCCGCTGCACCGAGGCCGCGGCCGCAGTCGACCAAGGCTGTAGCTGCCGTGGTGATAGCGTCGTCAGTGTACTTGACGACAAAGGAGACGTGGTCGTCGGTCAAGTCTTGGAGCACGTCAAAGAAGGCATGCACGATCGCGTCAAAGCGAATGGGGCGAACCGCATCGAACGCGCAGCCTGTAAATGGGACGGCGTCGATGCACGCGGTCGATCCATCCGCGCATGGAATGGCGCCAAAGATGCAGGAGCTCGTCGATTCCAAGGACGTTGCGTACGACAAAGTCTCCACCATGTACTGAGGAGTGCTGCTGATGTTGGCAGAAAGGGCTTGTGCAGCGACGAGCATGAGGCTGATGGCACCGAGCGACCGAAGGCGGACCATCGACCACGAGAAACGTACTGTCGATCGAGCTTAAAGGCGTTACACTACCTCGCGGGTTAGGTGCAGTTAGACGGGCCATTCGAAATAGACTGCAACATCGACAAGCGTTCGACTGCAATATGGTGGCTGGCAGCACCGAGATCGCGTTTACTCATCACTCGGGCCTTTGAGAGTGTCGCTAACATTAATTTTTGGTCACGGTCGTCGAAATGTAGTGTCCACAGAAGGTGCAGTCGTTGACCGAAAGCTCCATGTTCATCCTGCATGACCATCGACCAAGTTATTTTCGGCATGGGCGTGCCGAAAATACCCATAGCAGGATATCCGGACGCTTTCGGATAAACCCGTATAAATACAAGTGCAATATATCGAATGTAAAAGGTTTTACCTGCTCCACGTGGACAAAGCGAGGCAAGTCGAAAGTTGCTACAAGCCGATGCTGCCGCTGCCGGTCGTAGCTGTCGTCGTCGTCGGCGCTGGCGCCCTGCTGCTGCTGCCGCTCCTGCGCTGGTTCTTCGCGCCCGTGACCATGGCCAAGGCCTACGCAGCCGCGCATGATGCGACCAAGTACCGCTCCTACACGGACCCGACCACGCCGGGCACCACGTACGCACCCTCGCTGGCCACGCAGCCGCCTCATGATGCACGTGTAGACTGGTGTTTCCGTGCCTCTCGGCACCGGCAACGCGCTGCCTCTCGCTCATCGTGCCTGCGTTCAACGAAGAAGAGCGCATCGAGCCGATGCTGGACGAGACGATCGCGTACCTCGAGGGCCGCGCGGCCGCCGATGCGTCGTTTACGTACGAGATCATTGTCGTCGACGACTGCAGCACGGACAAGACCGTTGCCGTCGTCGAAGGCCACATCCGCCGCCATGGCGTCGACAAGCTCAAGCTCCTGCGGCTCGAGAGCAACCACGGCAAGGGCGGCGCCGTCCGCATGGGCGTGCTCAAGGCGTCCGGCGAGATCATCCTCATGGCCGACGCCGACGCCGCGACCAAGATTGACGACTTTAGTAAGCTCGAGGCTCTCTGGACGACCAAAGGCAAGGGCGCGACCAGTGGCGTCGTGGTCTGTGGCAGCCGCGCGCATCTCGAAGGCGAGGCCACGGCCAAGGTAGACACTCCCTTCTCATCGTGTGGCTCATGGCGCTTGATGTAGCGCCACCCGCTGCGCAACGTCCTCATGCACGGCTTTCACTGGATCGTGGCGACGCTGTGCGTCAACGACATTCGCGATACGCAGTGTGGCTTCAAGCTCTTTGACCGCAAGGCTGCACAGCTGCTCTTCCCGCCGCTGCATATTGAGCGCTGGGGCTTTGACGTCGAGCTGCTCTACCTGGCGCACAAGCTGCGCATTCCGTGCTACGTACGCTCGCATCTTGCTCCTCTAGTCTCTCATCTGTGTCATCATCAATGGTAGGAGGTTGCGGTGCGCTGGCAAGAGATTCCCGGCTCCAAGCTCAACGTCATTGACGCGACCTTCTCGATGCTGCGCGAGATGCTGCTCATCCCGCTTTGCTACAACCTCGGCGTCTGGCGCACGAACGACGGCGCGTATCGGTTGCAAGCATAAGACCAATGCATTGACAGTGGGTTAGCTCCGTGTTGTCTTGGCGTCGCCGCCGGTGATCTCGCCGCGGAGGATGTCGAGGTCGCGGGCAAAGTACGTGTGCGCGTACGCCGTCACATTGGCCGGGCGGTCGCGGAGCACGGCCTTGACGAGCGCGCGCATGACGAGGTCGAGTTCGGGGTGCGCGCGGATGTACTTTTCATTGTCCATGCGGATGCCCACCTGACGCGCAACGTCATAGATACATCGACGCAGGCAGAGAGGAAGAGGAATGGCGTACCTTGGCTTGGTTGAGCGCCGCGAGCTGCGCGTCGGTGAGGACGTCCATGGCCCGAGCTCTGACTTTTCGGGGATAATTTCCAACGGCAAAGTGGCAAGATCGCGATCTCGAAGAGGCGCGGTGGCCTCCCAAGCAAGCCACCATCCATCGACCGCGGTGCAAGCGCCAACTTCAACTTTGTTCTTAGCGTTCATTAGCGTCTTACGAAAGTATTTTGGTGAAAAATGACGAATCGCACAAGGTATTACAGGACCGCGGACGAGCTGAGCTTGTTGCTGCTGTCGGGGGCAAACGCAGTGCTGCCAAGACGCCAGTTGTCGCCCGGTAGTGTTGTCCAGTGAACGTCATTGGTGGTGCAGACAACCGTCTTGTCGGCCTTGGAGACTCCGCCGACGCGCCCGTCGCCAACCGAGATTCTGCTGAGCGTCAGTGCACCAGGAACGAGCACGCACGAGACAGTGCCTTGGCCAACGTTGACAAGCGAGCCCTGGGAGAGAATAACGGATGCGTCGACGCCATTTCGAACCGTTTTGCCGAGCCTGCACGCCCTTTTAGCAAGGCGCTGCCGCAACGATTTGCTCGCGAAACTCATTTACGATTTGTTCATCAAGCTCCAAGTCTCTTCGCTATGAATGCTCTTTTAAACCCCATCAGTCCATTCTTGCGGTGTCCTCTCAATACAAAGCTCATTCATCTCCCCGTATCGCTAACCATTCGTACAATAGAAGGCAAAATGCAAAAGCCTGTTTACCGCCGGACCACAGCAACAGTCTCGCCTGATATGAATTGGACTCCCTGGTGCGTATCGGTGGGGACCACGAGCTGCTTCGCGATGTCCTTCAGACGCAAAATGGCGTCTTCGTCATCGCTATCGTGCTGAAAATCGCACCTGGCACCGTATGTGCAATCGGGCTGATGGTTGCACCGCGTTGACTTCCATCTGTCGCCACTGGCGATGGCACGGGCGACGCCCACGATGCACATGTCTTCTGTACGATGCACAAGGTTGCAAGCGCGTGTCAAACATCGGCTGCCGCGGTCGCACATACCGTAGTATCGCGGTTTCTGTCTGCGCAACTCCGCGATGACGCCAATTTCAGTCTCGACTAACTCGGTGCTCCTTGGTGTCGAGATCTGGAGAATTGCCCCATTTGGCGCAGCGCGTCGAGCTGCAGCCATGGCGGTTGGTAGAGGTGGCTCTTCAAGAGGGCGACATGCTGTTGTAGTCGTGGGCAGCAGTGGCGGCGCGGAAGACGCAACTGGCGCCGGCATCATGAGTTGGGCAGCGGCAGGCTGTTGGCTTTGTGCCACCACCTGGGTGGCTGGTTTAAGCGTACGGTGGAGCCATCGGAGGCAGCACACAATCGACTCCATGAGGACGAGTGCGAGCGCCGACCAATTTTGCTCGACGCACTCGACGAGGGGGACGTAGTTGGCCAAGTCGTCGCCGGCTTGACAGTCCGTCTTCATATTCTTGAATACTTTGAAACCTTCGATACCCCATTGAACGGAGCGCAAGAAGCCTTCACCCGGCCTATTTGTTGCTGCACTGCGGTACCGCTTCAGGCCCTTGATGCGTCCGAGGGCGTCCTCGACAACGAGGCAGACAACACTTTCCATCAAGCTATTGTAGGCGCCGAGGTCGGGCGATCCGACGGTCGCGAGCTTGTTCTGGAAGTCTTCCAGGTATTTCCGAAGGTCATCTTTGCGCTTTTCGTCGGTAATGAGGTCACAGTAGTTGCAGTGGACGATCAGGCTCATGTTCGTACCTCGGCTCGCAGCAAATGATGGAATGAGCATCGATGAATGAAATACGCGGGTAGTTTCAAAGCCGTTGGTCACGTTTGGTGCGTTGTACGATTTTGGTTTTTCTAATATACAGCGGTTGGGTTCTCATGCAAAGCGGTGGATCCATGAACCCACGCTGAGCCAAAACTGACACATCCGTCCACTGGAATGTGAGCTCATAGCGCCGCCTGTGCCTTCAGCAACCCATGTAGCGAGGGCACACACGAGCAACACTCTCAGGTACAAGCAGCTGCTGGCGGCACGATCTCTGTTGGTGCGCAGGTATCCGGCAAAGCTATCCAAGAGAATCACACCAAATGGGACAACATGGTCGACTTCTCTTGAGGGGCAAGATGATCGACGGCAAGTCCCGTGCTGGCAAGTTGGAAGCACATAATCTCCCATTTCACTTCCATAAGACGGGTGTTTGCAGAACAACTAGCCGTTGGACTTTGGTGGCCACGATGGACAAACCAAGTCCAGGTCAACATCATTGGACGAACCGTCGTCTTGAATTCCGTTCCAGACCCTGTCGCGCGGCGGCCACAGCCAAGGCGAGCGTTGCGTTAAGCTAAGCTATTCCCGCCACCCGAACACATTGCCGCCTCCCAATGCTGACAACGCTGCGTGTGAATGGCGCGTGCAAGGAGTTGAAACGAGCTTTTTAGAATCACCTCGAATTCTCATTTTCGATATCTCGGAGAGGTTGTCGCGGTACATTCTCGACGGAGGCCTCGCACAAACCTCGCTCGCCAACGCTCAGCAAATCTCAGTCGGCTACTGTCGTCATTCGGGGAATTGAATTGTATGCGGTTTTCCGGAGAGTTGTAAATTCGAACATTGGCCGATGTGATCCATGTATTCCTGGAATTTTGGGGTGTTTGAGGGCACCACTGGCATCCCCGCATTGCGGGGACGGTTTTAGTGCACGTTTTGTGGAGGGCTGGTAGGGGAAATTGAGTGGGACAACGTTCTACTACATCAAAAACGACGCTTTATGGAGTTCCTGCGGTCACATCTCGAAACTTGGGCACCCGTCGTGACCCGTCGCTGTGTTTGGTGCCGTTATGAAACGCATGCATGCGATTTTACTCCACTATCAGCAATGTATGAAGACGCCAACTAAAACGGCAGATCCTCCCCGTGGTTGTCGCGGAGAATATGGCCATCTCGCCCCAAAAGCATTGATAGCGCTCGAAGAAGACACAGTTGCTTTTTTTGTAGCACAATCCCACAAACTACTCCGGGCGGCCTGTATGATCACGAGTTCACGCGAAACGGGGGTGTTCGCTCAAGATGTATAACTGGGTTTTGCGGCAAGATGGCAATAAAACTGGCATTGGAGCCATTTGGCGGAGTGCGACAGAGCCACACCTTCAATGAGCCACACACAATCTCACTACATGGAGTCGGTTCTCCGACGTCTTTCTCCGAGCCTCAGAATGATGAGCGAAGGACATTTTCGTTGTAGGCGCGCCTATTTATTTAGATACGGTAGAATTTTCATTGGACTGCTTGCAGGGGCAATGTTTTAGTGGTATGTGTTGAAACCTCGTGGCAGTCTCCCATTGGGCCAAGCTCTGGCCGTCCGCTAATTGGACGCCAGACTGGTCAATGGGCGCTGCTCCAATGTATTGGCCCAGCAGTAGCTTGTAAAAGCTCATCGAATTCAGACTTTGTTTTGCCTTTTCCTCCTCAAGCGCAGAAGCTCGTGTCTGGGGCCTTCCAACCCCAACGGCACAACAGTTTGGGCACTAGTATTGTGAAACGAATGCTCGATAGCGCTGCCTCTGCTTGATCTGCAAGTCGATCATTTTGGCTCTACAGTAAACGTTTACAACGTCCTATACGTCAGTAGGGTCGCATATCTATGAAATCTCCTGCGACTGCGGATGAAACTGAGGGTGCCACCCGTTTCGAGACCCACTATCAGTCGCTTTCTCCCATATGCGATGCAATATAGCAAAATGCAGTCTCTTTTACTGTGCTAACGTATAGCGCTTTAATGGTTGCTGTTGCAGTACACATGCTGTTCCATTTTATGGACGGTGCTTTGCCATCTCGATCCATTGTTCAATTTGCGGCATGGCCAACGGCGAGTGCAAAGACAAAGGTGCTTGTGCCCGCATCAACACGTGTACGCGGAACCACCCGCAAGCCGAGAAATGTCCCGCGGACGATGCTTGCGTGCAGCGAACGTGCCCTAAGAACCATACCAACATCCGCTGTGTCAGCGTCGCCCTGGGCAGAGTCTGCACCAAGGGTGCCGCGTGTACCTTTTACCACACGGAGCCCGCCGCCTACCCTGTCGAAGGCCCCGTCCACGGGGCCGCAGCCCCCCCCCCGCGGGTCGCGACGCCGAAGGAAAGGCCCACACGCACGAACACGTCGCAGCCGCCAGAGCGCCCAACGCCAGCTGTGCAACCCCAAGAGTCTGCACCCCGACCCGCACAGCAGGCGCCTCGTCAGGAGCAGCAGCCTGCGGCACCGAGGCAGAGGCAGCAGCAGCGGGCGGCAGCACCACCGCCGATGACTCTCCATCTTCCAGCTCAGTCGATTGGTGACCGGGCAGCCGTGGCGTCGGCGCCGTTCACCGAAGAAGCCAAGTTTTGTCAACGCGAAGACAGGGCAGTGGCCGACCACCAACGTCTCTTGCGTCGTGCACGTATGACGCCCGACGCGTCGCAGGACGCCGCCGTTCTGGAACTCGAGTGTCATCTGCACGTTTTCAAAGCCATCCAAGCAACGTTCTCCGTGGCCACAAAAGAAGACAAGTACCGACGCAAGCGCGAGTTGTACCGTTTCCAGCAGCGCTTGCCTGCGTACGCCAAGCGCGACGAGATCGAGCGCGCTGTGACCCAGAGTCGGTTTGTGGTCGTGCAAGGCCAAACGGGCTCGGGCAAAAGCACGCAAATTCCTCAGTACCTCGCAGAGCTATTCCCGCGAACGAAGATTCTCGTGACGCAGCCACGGAAGCTCGCGGCCATGGCGCTCGCAGAGCGCGTCGCCCTCGAATTTGCAGGCGGCTACGACAAGGCGGCAACTGTGGGTGTCGATGTCGGATACCGTGTCGGCGGCCGGCGCCAGTGCCGTGCGCGAGGGCGCATCGAGTACATCACGGAAGGCGTCCTTCTCGACATGATCATGCGCCAAGACAACAAGTTGTTCGAAGGCATTGGTGCGATTGTGGTGGACGAAGCGCACGAGCGCAGTATCATGTGCGACTTGCTGCTCGGGTCGCTAAAGTCGGACGACGCGCGCTGGCGACACATTCCACTTGTCGTCACGTCCGCCACCATTGACATCGCCCTCTTTTCGACGTACTTTGGTGGCGCACCCATCGTGGACATCCCCGGGCGCCTGTTTCCAGTCGACGTATCGTACATGGTGACGCCAGACGGCACAAAAGACATGGCCACCTACATGGCACAGGTGGCGCTGGAGCTGCACCGCGACAGCTTACCGGGCGACATCCTGTGCTTTTTACCTGGCCAAGACGACGTGTTGCGGGCCCAGGACGTGCTTGAGAAGTGCCACGAACCGGGCCTTGTTGCGCGTACGCTCTACGGAAAGCAGGAGCCCGAGGATCAAAAGCTGGCCTTTGCGCCCACCGAGCAGCGCAAGGTGCTCTTCGCAACCGATGTGGCCGAGACGTCGATTACGATCCCTGGAGTCGTCTACGTCGTCGACAGTGGGCTCAAGAAAGGCGTGAGCTACGACCACGTGCGGAAAATCGCGTCGCTCAAAGTGCAGAGCATTGCGCGGAGCTCGGCCATCCAGCGAGCCGGCCGCGCCGGCCGCACGCAACCCGGTGTGTGTGTGCGGCTCTACAGCGAGCACGATTTCGAGCTCATGGAGACGAGTACGTTGCCCGAGATATTTCGACAGCCGCTGGTGCTTGCTGTGCTCACACTGCGCCGGCTCCGCATCGATCCAACGATCTTCGAGTGGCTCTCGGCCCCGCCCGCCGACGCCATGGCAGCCGCGGAGCGCGAGCTGACGCTCCTTGGCGCACTCGAGAACGGCCACATCACGGCCCTCGGCACAATCATCACGACGCTGCAGCAGCCGCCCGAGCTCGTGCGGATGCTAGTCAAGAGCTGTGCGCACGGCCATGGCGAGGCAGCGCTGCAGATCGCGGCGGTCCAATCGGTCGCGCACATGTTTGTGTGGCGCGACAAGACGAAGAAGCCGTCGACACATCCGATGCTTGTCTCCGACGACGGTGATATCGTACCGATGGTGCGGGCTCTGAAAGAATACCGCAGTGTGCTCACGGGTGCAACGCGTGTCGAAGTGATGGCCGTGAGTGCGCCAAATGACGTCGAGCCTACGGACGACCCACCTGCGATTGCGCTAACGGCCGGGCTCCTACGTCGACTGAACGTTCAGCAGCGTGCAGTCATCAACGACGACGACGATGAGAACACGGACGAGACGCGCTCCGAGGGCACGTCAGGAGACAGCATCGAGTCGGTACCCACACCGCCCAAGAGCAGTGGCAAAATCACGTTCCGTACGAAAAAAAAGGCTGCGCAGTGGTGTCAGCAGAACGGGCTCAACAACAAGGCACTCGGTCTCGCTGTCGCGCTTCAAGACGAGCTGCGGGGCCAAGTCGCCGACTTGGCGTTTTGGAAAGAGCGACCACAAACGGGCGAGGTGTCGGACAGCGCCCTGCGGCGCATCGTCTTTTACGGTACCCTAATCATCCCTAGTCCAACCCACAGTCTCATGACGTCCTGCAGGGTTCTTTTTGCACGTGGCGTGTCTCAAGCGCGACCGCAGCCACATGCTGCAGTACTGCGCCGTCGAAGCCGACGTCGTGGGCACGATTCCGATGGAGGCGGCCATCCAGAACGGGGTCCCACCGGACTGGATCGTCTACGACAAGATCTTTCGCCCCGCCGGCCGCGCCCTTCTCGTGGCGTGCACGCCTGTCGAAGAAGGGTGGCTCGCCTCTGAGAGTCCGGAATTTGCTCGCAACGTGAGCGCAAAGCTGCAGCAGCTTCCGATTTCCACTGTCGTGCTGACCGTGCCCAGCCCTGCGCTCAAGAAACTTGTGGGAAAGCAGCTGTGCAACCTCGAAGCCATCGAAGTCCAACTCGGGTGTACGCTGCACGTCGTGCCGGACAAGGGCCAGCTCGTGGCATTCTGCACCCCAGCCATTGCGCGCGGTCTGCAGTCGCGCGTCGATGCCCTTGTCGCACCGTACCAGGAAGAAACGCTCGCGCTCACGACGGAGCAGACGTACCTCGGCGGCACACGGGCTGTGATCGGCGCTGGATTTGTTGTCGACGAGCTGCTCTTTGACGACGAGTACGTCACCGTGTATGTGCGCCAGCTCCCGGCCACGATGCCTCGACGCGACATCCGTGCGTTCGTTGCCAAAGCCGCCAACAGTTCGCAGCCAATCCTGCGCGCACTAGAGCAGCAAGACGTCAACGGCGGCGACCAATCCGTTGCGCTTACATTTTACGACAAGGCTGTCGCCAAGCAAGTGCTCACGCGGCTGCAAGGCGAAGTCATCGCCGGGCGCAACGTGCAAGTGAGCGCCGGCAAGGCGATGGCCAAGCCCGGCCTGCAGCAGTCGACGTCGAGTCGTATCAAAGTGTCCTGGGCCACCGCTGCCTCCAAAGGCGTCGCCAAGGTTTGGTTCAAATCGGCGCCCGACGCCAACCGGTTTCTTCAAGCGTACAAAACGATCTTGCCCGAGGCAGCACGCGCTGCGGCCAAAGGTGCATCTGAGATGCCTGCGAAGACACCCCTTGGGCTCAAGCCACTGCCACCCGTGACGCGCATGGCCCCGATGGTGTACCACTTCAACCTCGGCACCGACTTTACATCGTTTCTTGTCGCCGTACATGGTCTCCCACCCTCCTTGGACGAGGGCACGCTCACGGAGCGCCTGACGGCAATGCCCCACGAGCGCTTCCGCATCGATCGCGAACTGAACGGCTCTGCGGACCAGAGTTCGTCGATGGAGAGCGTCCTCGCCGTGCGGGCGCGACGGCTCGGCTCCGTATTGGCGCACATGCCTTATACGTTTGTGGCCACGGATTTCCTCGACGCTGGCCGCGCCGGCGTGTACATCGTCAACGACGACACATCGGCGCTCGAGGCTCTCTACATGTCAGCGCTACAGTCGTGGGCACCCGCGGAGATGCCGTGTGGGCAGCCGATCCGGCTAGCGCTTGAGCACACGTACGTGGCGCGGACGCACGTCGAAGTGTGCAAGAAGCGCGCCAATCTGCTGGCGCCGGTGTTCGCCGACGCTCGCCGACGGGGCGTCATTGTCTTTGAGGTGCCGACAAGAACGAACTTCGAAGCGATCCGGTTCACCTCGACGTCGCGCCTCATCCTCGGGCGCATTCAAGCCGAGCTTGGCGAGATCACGCGCTGCACGCAGTTCAAGCACACCGACATCAAGCGTCTCTTCTCGGGTGCCGGCCGCAAGTTTCTGGGCACGCTCTCGAATGACATTTATGTGCACTGGAACGCACGCACGGGCCAAATTTTTGTCTACGGCAACGACGACGAGTTCCAAAGAGCCAAACGCGACATGGTCGGTTTTATCAAGCAGTTTGCCGCGCTGGACGTCACCGACCGCGTCCTCGTGCTCGACAAGCGCAAGATCAAGTCGCTCAAAGTCGCATCCGTATGTGCGCGCGCTTTTGATCTTGGCGCCAAGTTGTATCTCTCGGGATCACACGACGCCATCGAGGCCATCACAGCGTCCCTCCAAGGCTACTTGTTTGCAAACCGGGACGGACCCCGCTCGGTCGCGACGAGTACACTCGAGTGCCCGCTTTGCCTATGCGAAGTCGATGCTACGACGACGCAGCTGACGTTGTGCGGTCACACCTTCTGCACCAACTGCATTCTGCCCATGTTTGGAAGTCAAGACACCAAGCTTCCACTGAGATGCCCTCGGGATGGGTGCAACGCTGCATTGAGTGTCGAAGACAGCTTGAAGCTGGTGCCGCCGTCGCAACTCGAGGGCTTGGCCGAGAAGGCCGTGGAGCTCTACCGAGTGCAACACCAAGATGCCTTTTCGCTGTGTCCGCAGCCGGGTTGCAACCAAGTGTTCCGTACCGCAGAGTACAAGAAAGGTACTGCATGTACAAGGAAATAATGTCTCGTGATGGGGTGCCGCGTGTAGGAATGCACGGGGGCGACCGCGCAGTGTGCGACAACTGCCAAAAGACGTACTGCATCACGTGCTCGGACAAGTTGGCGATGCCCGTCGACGAGCACCCGACGGTCACGTGCCAGCTCTCTCAGCTCAGCGCGAACCGGACTGTGCAAGGCCACGTCCGTCGCATCTGCGACGAGATCCTCACGCTCGCATGCCCGAAATGCAAGTCGGCGTTCCTCGACTTCACGGGTTGCACGTGTGTCACTTGCGGCAACACCAACTGCAACACGAATTTCTGTGCCAACTGCCTCGTGTACCACAACAGGGACAACTCGGCATGCCACAGTCATGTGCTCGACTGCCCATCAAACCCCAACCGAGGTCGAAGCCATTTTGTATCGACCGAGCTGCTGCAGAAAACACACGCTGATGCGCGCAAGAAACAAACCACCGCGTACCTTGCGAACGTTGCGGTCGCTGGCGACGAACGACGCGGTGTGTGGCAGATGATCCAGCCCGATTTGGTGGACCTCGGAATTCACTTTACTGAGCAAGAACTCGCTCAGCTTTCCATTGCGTAACTTGACATTCATAATAACAAGATAGCATCGGGCAAACGATGACTCAGTTGACCGCATGTAGCATTATCCACTACAGTGATGTATCCCTCTATCTACAGTATCCATGCAAAACGGCAAAGTCGAAAGATCGCGATCTTGAAGAGGCGCGATGGAGGCCAAGGCTGCGCTGACTAGCGGCAAGGACATCTTCGCCGTGCTCTCGGC